ACAGAAGTTGGCACAGGAAGTTAAGTTGGGGCAAATGGTGGATTTATTTGATGTCCCTCCGTTTGTCAATCTCCAGGTGTCATTGTTAGGACTGGTGCAAAAAGGCATCTGGTTCCTATTGGCTGATTCATCATTTGTTGTACCCATCTGGGGGTTCAGTTAACGATGACATTTCCCTAGGTATGTTATGCTTCCTTTGATCAGGTGTTGGAGCTGGTTAGGGCTGCGGGTCCAGGTGCTTTGTTAGCAAAATCTGATGTAGAGTCCACATTTTTATTTGCTTCTAGTTCACCCAGACTCGTTTCATTTGTTGAGTTGTTCTTTTCGGAATTTGTTTTAATATGACATATGTTTGTCTATAAAGCTTTTCTATTTCCTGTGCCTATTTTAAACAGTTTTCCCTTTTCTTTGGATTGGGTTATGATGCAGGTTTCCAGGTTGTCTTTCTTTTAATACTACCTGAATGATCACTTGTTTGTGGGTTTGGCAGCATGGCAGTTTTACTTCACTCGTTCTAGTCAGTGGCAGACGACTTTGGCGTCCCTGTGGCAGAGGAAAATACAGTGGGTCCGTGCATAGTGCTTCCATTTTTGGGGATCGAGATTGATTCCAGGAAGATGGTATTTCATTTGCTGTTAGACAAATTGAATACTCTGGTTACATTCATTGGGTTAAGAACGCACGAAAAGTGTAGCTTTCGTTGCTACAGTCTCTCCTGGTCATCTAACCTTTGCTTATCGGGCAATGACTATGGGGTGCAAGTTTTGTCGGCGGTTATCACTGGCTATAGTGGGTGTGTCGCAGCCTTTTCACTATATTCAGATTACGAAGGGGTTGCGCTCTGATCTGGGGGTATGGAGCGTGTTTCTTCAGTATTTTAATGAATATACATGTTGGCTGCTCCCTGAAGCATGCAAACTGATTTGGATATTTTCACCAACGCCTCAAGTTCGGTCAGGTTTGGGGCCTATCTGCAAGATCAGTGGTGTGCAGCTCATTGGCCAGCAAAATGGTTATCGTGTGACAATACTCCTAACATGACCTTCATGGAGCTATTCCCTCTGGTGGTCACAGTGGAGTTCTGGAGTAAGGTCTTGGCCAATCGGAGGGTCCTATTTCATACCGACAATATGAGCATGGTGCAGGTGGTTAATATGTTCTTTGGCATCCCCTCCGGTTTTAGGCTTGCTGCGGCACTTCGTTCTAAAATGTTTGCAGTATAACATTTGGATTAGGATGTGTCATGTTCAGGGTGTTAACAATGTTATTGCTGACTCCCAAAAACTATTTCAGTGGGATCGTTTTTGGGAGTTGGCCACGGAAGCCAGCAAGGTAGGAGTTTAATGCCCTGGAGCACTTATAGACCCTTGCAATGGAAACTTGAGGAGGTTGGTACAGTCGTGTTTGACTACGCAGATGTGGGCTGTGTACTTCAGAGTATGGTCTTGCTGGTGGTCTATAGGTAAGGGATAGATAGATCTGGAGTCAGAACCAGTTTGCGTCGATCGTATGTTGCTGTTGTTGTCGCAGCTACAGGACGCGGGTGCGTCTGCGTTGCAGCAGAGTTGACGCTGGCAGCGTTCTCTTTTTTGTTTCATATGACGGGTTGGAGGGATGTCACAAGGGAATATTTTATTTGGCATGTTTCATAAGGTTGCTGTGTGGGAGGGCTGGCCCATCACAGCTCAATTGTTTCTTCTGTTGTTAAAGGTTCCGGCATACTTCTGTAGTTTTAAATATGCTGTTGTTCTGGGTTGTTTTTTTCCTTTTTTTTATGATGCTTTTCTGATTGATGAAGTGGTGGTGCATGGATTGTGGGGCACTCCATCTACTGGGCCACTGGTAGATAGGGGGAAAGGACATATGGTAACAATTTTGGATGACAGATGGAGATGTTTGCATGACTTGAGGTGGGTTCAGATTAATCCTGAGTGCACAGCTTTCAGCCGCTTTGTTTCTGGTTTTGTTAGTTTAGTTATACATGCGGGAGGTAACGATTTGGGCAGAAAGTGCACAATCGATTTGATTTACGCTTATTCAAAGACCTGGTGGTTGTCTAGCCGAAGGTGGTTCTACGGCCTGTTTGGCAAACTTTGCCTTATGGCAGGGTGCTGGAGAGGAGTCGGAAGCTGAATATGACCATATCGAGGTATATCCAGAGGATTGGTGGGGTTGTGGTGCGTTATCAGGAATTGGAGGGCGATGTGCAACCTATGAGCAAACATTGTATTGCTCAAATGTGTGCAAAGCAGAACACTGGAAAAACAAAAATCAGTATTCAAACACTAATTTCAATTCTGCATCACCTATAAAAATGAACCCAGAACAAAGAAGAGGAAGATCCAGCGTTCTGCATCACAATCTCTTATTGCCTTGTGACTTCCTACCATTGAAAGTTGAACTAGGGATTGGGTCAAGATCAAGGAGGAAGGTGAGCAAACAAATACTTGTAGACAAAATTAAAGTCCAGAAGAGGATTAAGACTATGGTTAGCACTACTTACCTGTAGATGAAAGCAGTGAGTTTGAAAATACAGACTTACCAAATGTCCATCCCTATGAACCGGTAAACTAAGAAAATGAATTGGGTCAAGAGATGATGACTAATGAATATCAGCCTAAAAATGGAAAATGGCGAGTGTTAATAGGACAATGTACCTCTACAGGAAGAGAATGAAACCAAGGATGAACAACCTGCAGAAGCACCTAATGGTATAGCAGATGTACATGTAGTCCCAGATGAAAGAAACAGTAATTATGAAAAGTAGTCGAGATAGCCTAGAAGAAAAGGAAGACATCCAAAGACATTTACCTATGACTAACTGGGTACTCCAGCATGCTACAGTATAGAGCACACAAACATAATGCCTTATAGATACGAGCCCATGCTGTACAGAATGCAGAACCTGACTCAATAAGTCTACCCAGTACAGCAGTGTCAGCCAGCATATCTATACATACACTGAAGAGACCTCAGGTGTATCTCAAATTAAAGAGACTGAGAAAAGTACATGAAAAGAAAGAAAAAAGAATGTACCTAGTCCATAGACTATATTAATAATAGAATATTCCTTGCACTCACGCTTAGGTAGTCCAATATGCCTTATTAGGCTTGCCGGGTGCCAGTCTTTAGGGTCCTTCAATGTAGTACACAAAACAAAGCAGGCTGCACTCACGGACTTCTGAATATCAAATGTGGTTTATTCCATCCAAGAAACAAAAACGATCAACATTTCGGTCCACGCAGGGACCTTCATCAGGATCAAACAGTACAAATGCAATCTATATCTACCTCAAATATATACCTAATAACATTAATCAAAAGTGACTTACCCCAGGTGATGAAAAAACTTCACCGGCGTTTACTGCTAAACACCGCGCATGTGCGTCCTGCCGTGCGTCCCCACGCTGACCTCCGTTCCATGCGTAATGACGTCAACGACGTCGTGTCCATGGCAACGTTTACAGCTTCCATTATAGGAACGCTGTAACTACAGTGTGACAAGCAATAACCTAGTGATGAGCAAATCGTGTTACAACAAGAACAAGAAAAAGAATTTAAACAAAATGTTACCAAGCATATAACTAAATAAATCTACTGAGTCACCATTAGATAAGTATTGGAAACAAGGTTAAATACTCTACCAAATTGATTAAGGCTCCTATTAATATATAGATATTTTACTTTTACCCTAAAATTAAGGGACAGAATCCAACTTAATATAATACTGCCTTTATTATGCACAAAAAGGTGTGGGGCTTTTTAGTCCTTTTACACCTTCACTTGGAGACTTCTCCTTTACTTTAATATTATTGCAGTAATGAAGATGGAATACATTAATTAACTCTATAAATTGATTTTAAAGGGGCCTTAATCAGAATCTAATGTGACACAAATCATGTGTCCAGTCACTCAACGGATATGCTAATTTACACAATCTGAGACTATTGCCAATTATATATATTTTATGATATTCTAACTATATCTTAGTTAACTAAGGGCTCTATCTTGATATCTGTTCACATTTTCATTAAATTAACCCTTATTATAATATGTCTCCTATTATATAAACACATCTATTATTGTCTGTACACAATTAGTATTTACAAAAAATTATTGAATATACAGTAACTATTTACATTATTATTGCAAGCACTAGAGAAAAGAATGATATGATATTATCTCATTGAGTCCTTTAGGTGAGACTGTGTCGAGTCTGTGAATCCAAAATGTCTCTCTGTTGAGAAGTAATTTCCCCCTGTCCCCCCCTCTCCTTGGTTCGGGAATGTGATCTATCGCCGTAAATTTAAGTGTTGTGAGGGGGTGCTGTAAGTCCAAAAAATGCCTGGCGACTGGTTTATCACTTTTACCATCTCTATAGGCAGTTCGAATATTGGAACGATGTCCTCGAATGCGGTCACATAATTGGGTTTCCGTTTTGCCTATGTATGTTAAACCACAAGGGCATGAAATTTTATAGATCACGAACTTCGTTCTGCAGGTGATAGTAAAGTTGATTAGAAACCTTTCATTTGTATGAGGATGGTTAAAGGTGCGTGATGGTATCATATGGCTGCAGGTTACGCAGCCCAAACATCTGACGCTCCCCCGTTTTTGAATATTATCAGGTTGTAGATAACTTTGTATGGGATCTGTCTTTACCAACATATCACGTAGATTTCCGTTACGTTTATAACATATCAGCGGCCGTTGTTTGAAAACCTCCGGTAATGTAGAGTCTTGAGATAGCATATTCCAGTTCCTTTTAATGGTATTTGATAACTTAGTTGCCCTATCATTGTATGTTATAGGGCATACTATTTTATTCTGTGTTAAAGTCGTTTTTTTTGGATTATGTTCTTTAGCTTGTTTCAACGACCTTTCTAGATCTAATTTTTTGTATCCTCTGGATAGAAACTTGTCTTTCATTTCTCCTAATTGCTTCTCCCTCATTTCAACTGTTGAATTATTACGTATAGTTCTTAAAAATTGTGCTTTAGGGGGGCGGAGCTTGACTGCCAAGGAAGCCAGACGTGCTCTGCAAGAGCTCCTGCATCTGGCCCCAATAAATCACGATTTACACCCGGGCCACCCATTAATGAGACCACAATGAGCACTCATATTGCCACTGGGTCTTCGGTGCACCGGAGGATACTTGTTGCGAACCTGTCTGGACCGGGTACATCCTGGTAGTGGCCAGCGGCCTACACAAGCCTGAGCTCTGGAGAGACGGCCGCTCTCTGAGCTCCTTCGTTTACTACGTGGTCCCGGCAAACAAAGCTATCTTCTCCCCCCCCCCCCCGGACCGGTGGGGGTTATCCCGGTATCCACTGGCTGGCACCTCTGTCGACCCTACACAGCTATCTCAGCAAGACGCCCGATCACGGCTGACTCACCTAAGATGGCGGCCAGGTCTCTGCTCCACCAGCCGGGCCTGAATCAGCCCATGGAGACACGAGGAAGTGCGGCTGATTATGTGCTGGAGCGACTGGATGCGACCTTTGCTGATTTCTGGGCCAAATTTGAGGCTCTTATTGAAGCGACACCAAATGAATCTCATGAAGGACAGCAACCCAGAGAATCACTCTATACGCCTGCTGAAAGGCAAGCGGGTCCTGGGGGTCATCCTACTACACGAAGCGGCAAGCAGGTACACAACCACCCCCCCCCCGCACGACTAACAAAGCGAGAAAGCGCAAGAAGCCACAGCGGCAGGCATCGCTCTCCCAACAAGCCCAGCAGCATGGACGCTACTACGCACCTCGACCGTGGAGATCCAGACTCCCTCGACAGGAGCAGCAGGTCCCAGAGGTAGTCCCCTTAAGCTGCCTGGCACACAAGACCGTCGGCCCATGGAGGTCACCATCTTTCCTAATTCGGCGCCGCACACGGAAGGAGCAAGAAGGGAAGGCAGAACCCGGCACCAAGCTACCTCACCAGACTTGGACTCTAAGCGGCATAGGCTAGGGGTCCTATGTAGAATCATACCAAACCAAAGGTAGCCAGGGTATCAGCCAGCTTTACCTTGGTAACATGTTATAACTTTGATTGCATTCACTATTATTTTTCTTTCCTATGTTTAGAACACCTTAAATCTATAAATATCAGTAGTATATTCACAAATGCCTGTTATATGTTTCCTGTAGGCTTATTTCTGGTTTAAGCCTAGCGTAATATGCAACCACTTATTTCCTGCCTAGCCAGACAAGATATAGGATGGAATCAACCTAGCATATACTATGTTGTAAAGCCGTGTTCATACAATGATTGCACATGTCATGTTTTGTCTCTATGTCACTCCTCTGTTTACCCTTTCCTGACATGTGTACCTCACTAACCCATTTAAACGAGACCCTAAACTATTGTATTGCATACCATGTATACCTACATGTAACTCGATACTTTAATGCTATGTTTCTTAAGCCTGATAATATAAAAAATTGTGCCAGTTAAAAATACACCCCGCATGCTCGCGTGGGACAAGCCTGAGGATTGCCTTCGGGGTACCTCAAGCATACCTGTAATATATACGTGCACTACAAAAATAAAGAATAAAAAAAAAAAAAAATTGTGCTTTAGTCCATAGACTAGGTACACATGTGCGTCGCTGGGTTAATCAGAGGTCAGATCGCGTCGGGAATAGCACTGACCGCTCGGGCATTTAGCAACCGCTGTTGCTGTACCCTCGTGCGTTTTTCAAACTCTGATTGGAGCACTTGTCTGTGAGAGTACTCCTAGGTGGGAAAAGCAATTATTTAAGGCGCCCTGAGGTAAGTCCTTGGCGCCAGAAGAAAGAAGATTTACCCCAAGGAAGAAGCATCTACCCTTTATGGAGCTGTTTTCCCCTCATTCTCCCTTCTCAGCAAGCTCTCTCTTCTGTTCTGTGTCCTGTCATGGAGCATTTGATCGAGGAGGTCAGGAGGAGGGCATTCAGCAATGGAGGTGCTGAATGACTAATGCAGTGCCTCTTGACTGCCCCTTCCTGCCAAATGGATGCACGCCCACAGGATGCTTCATTGGACATTACAGTGCCTGAGGAGGAGGAAGCTGCTAAGGGGGCAGATTCAGAGGAGGAGCAGCAAATGTCAGTTTGCCTGAGTGACAGAAGTGTACTTCTTGGAAGAAAGAAGAGGATTTCCAAGTCAAGAGTGATTTATTCCCCTTCATCCACGAGAGGGAGCAGGAAGACCAAAGCTGCAGGGAAGAAGAAGAGAAAATCATGTCAGGCTGCTGAGCTGGTGCAAGTGCCGGTCCTTGAAAGCGGTGAGCAAGCTGGCACCTCGCAGACTACGCCCGCAGAGTGAATGGACAGTCCATCAGGTGAGTTATTCCCTGGGGCTTCTTCTAAAGCTAGGCTAGGGGAAGCACTGGGGTTTTTATTTCAGTATATGCAAGGTAAAGCTGGTAGTCCAGCTATGGCTTTGTCACAGGATACCCCAAAATTCCCAAATTTAGCTGCTCCTTTCGGTTTAATTAATAGGTCTGACAGGAGCAATACGCCTATAAATGAGGTTTGTCTGAAAGAAGCTTTGGCGTGCGAAGCTTCGCCTCTAGGCTATAATTTATCAAATTGTGTGAAGGAAAAGATTTGGAATAATGAATATGTAGATATTCTCTCATTGTTACCAACCTCTAAGGAGTTTTTGTCAAAGTTAGGAAAAGACCAGTACCTTGTTCTTTTAATAATTGGCTTCAGGCTTTCTGTATTTTTGCCAGTGTTTATTGTGAGCGTCATTCGTATAGAGCTAGCGGGCTTTTTCAACATTTAGACGCTATTTTGGAAGCTTACAAGCATTTTGGTAGTCTAGCCTGGTTTAACTATGACAAAGTTTTTCGCCAGAAATTAGTACATAAGAGCTTGAAATGTTGTATGAAGGACGTAGGCTCCTGGGTTAGCATCATGCTGCCAAGCAGGGTGCCACAGAATCAGTACAGATTGCATACCCAGCCGAGTGGTTTACAGATGCGCCCAAAAGGTGTCTGTTGGTCATTTAATGAATCACAATGTAAATGGCCGAATTCGTGCAGATTCAGGCATGAATGCTTGAATTGTGCAGGGAATCGTCCTTCCTTTCGGTGTTATAAGAGGCAAAGCGTTGCTGCCAAAGAACAGATTTCGAAAGGCTTCGACCCCAGTGAGAATACAAAATATGCTCCTTTATTTAAAACGTTACCCAAACAAACAGCGCAGTTAATTGAGGAGGGTTATTTATTTGGTTTTAGAATTCCTGTTTGTATTTGAGCTGTTCAGTTTGTTGAAAACCTTAGTTCTGTTAAGTTAAATAGCAGTGTAGTTAGAGTTATAATTATTAAGGAAATAGCATTAGGTAGAGTTGAAGGCCCGTTTTCTGTTCTGCCTTTCCCTTGTTTCAGGTTATCCCTGCTTGGTTTAGTCCCTAAAAAAGAAAAAGGTTCATATAGACTAATTCATCACCTATCTTATCCGAAGGGTACATCATTAAATGATGAGGTAGATGCTTCAATTATTTCTGTCATATAGCTCATTTGATGATGCTCTGCAGTGTGTTAGGGAGTGTGGACATAAGGCTTTTATGTCTAAGGTTGATATTGAAGCAGCGTTTAGGTTGCTCCCTATACATCTAGATTGTTTTGGCTCATTCGATTTTCAGTTTGAGGGTAGTTTTTATTTTGACAAATGTATGCCTATGGGTTGCTCTGCCTTGTGTTTTTACTTTGAACGTTTTTCAAGTTTCCTGGAATGGGTCATAAAACAGGTTTTTGGTTTACACTCGGTTATTCACTATTTAGAAGATTTTTCTTTTCATTGATAAAGCAGATTCTATGGATTGCTTTCATTTACTGCAGATTTTCATGGCTATTGCCCAGCATTTTGGCATTCCTTTTGGCAAAAGAGAAAACGGTCTGGCCCAGTACATGCTTACAGTTTTTAGGCCTAATCATTGATTTGGAACGGATGGAGTTCCGTCTGCCTGAAGACAAGGTCATTAGAATGAAGCGTGAGATTTCACATTTATTACGAGTTAACAAAACCTCGGTAGGTAAATTGCAGTCTGTGTTGGGTCTGTTAAATTTTGCCTCAAGGGTAATACCCATGGCTAGAGCCTTTTCTAGGCATATGTCAAGGGCGATAGTTGGCTATAAAACCCCACATCATCATGTTAGAATTTCCAGGGAAATGAAAGAGGACTTACATGTATGGAACTAATTTTTATGTGAATTTAATGGATCCACAATTTGGCAAAGTGAATTTACATCCCGTTGGAATTTAGATATTTTTACAGATGCAGCTGGGTTTCAAGGTTTTGGTGTATATTTCCACGGTAAATGGGCTGCAGCATGGTTGGACACATATAATCACCTTCTTAGAATTATTCCCAATAGTGGTAGCCCTGAAGGTTTGGGGTTCTGAATAGGCCAACAAAAGGATCATTTTTCATTGTGATAATTTAGGAGTAGTTTGGGTAATCATTTCCCTTAGGGCAAAAAGTATCCTAGTGATAAATTTATTGAGACATTTGTTTTTTATTTGCTTGGTTAATAACATCTGGGTGAAAGCAAAGCATATGCAGGGTAAAAATAACCATATAGCTGATGCTTTGTCTCGATTTGATTTCAAGTATTTCAGATCTCTGGCACAACTAGCGGACGAAGTTGGAACAAGGTTGCCAGAAAGCATCTGGGAGATAACTTCACCCAGATAAGTAATTTGCTGGGTTTATCATTGTCTGCATCTACTTGGGTAGAATATCTGAAAGCTTGGGATGATTGGCAACAGTTTGTGAAAAAATTGGATAAGGATGCTATTGATCCTACTTTACTTCCAGGCTGGTGTATCCAGATTTTTTTTTTTTTTTTAAAAGCACTGTTAGGTATTTAATTTTTTCTAAAAGTACTGGGTAAGAAGCCGGTGTTTAGGGAATTCATTATCCAACAAATGTTAAAAGGGGCTTGGGGAAAGAAACCTCAAGTACAAGATAATAGGTCCCCTATCTCCTTCCAGCTGTTGGGTGAATTAGTTAAAAATCTGAGCTCTGTTTGTAAGGATGAATTTCAGTATAAAAATCAGAAATCTGACATAGCGTAATACAGTAAAGAAACTTTTAAATCTCTAAATATAAGTGATTGTAGATACACTCACAAACACACGTGGAATAGGGCTTCTCGCCCACTCAGGGGCAGTGTGTAGTCCAATGGATAGGCTGGAGAATCACCTCATGAGATATATAAAAATAAAGGAAATCAAAAATAGTGAAGTTTGTTATAAAATTCAAAATCACATTTATTGGTCACACTTACATGTGTGTAAATCACAAAGAGCGTATCTCTCAATAACCTGGAACTCCATGCAGTGTAGTCATCAATCCAAAAATAGGAATTTACAGGAGTGGTTATAGATGAGTTGCCAAAATACAAATACAAACAAATAAAAAACAATATAAAACAATATAAAATATAAGTCCAATATAGAAATCCAACGCGTTTCGCCCTGAGTGGGCGAGAAGCCCTATTCCACGTGTGTTTGTGAGTGTATCTACAATCACTTATATTTAGAGATTTAAAAGTTTCTTTACTGTGTTACGCTATGTCAGATTTCTGATTTTTATACAGAATTCATATGGATTTCATTTTCCATCAGGTTGTTGTATACTTTATATATTAATCTACACGTATTCTGGGTGTTTTCCACCTTTTTGCTATTTCACATTGTTTCTTGGGTGTCTGTGAGGTACACCTAGGAATTCTTCCAGTTATACGTTTTTATTTTGTAGTGTATATACTATTTTTTTGTTTATATTAAGGGATATATTACTTGGATATGTCATTGGAAGGAGCTATTGTATGACCTTATTATTTATTTTACAAAATCATATTTATTATAAGATGTATTAGATATCCTTTTTTTTGTTGTTGTTTAAAACAAAAGGTATGAAAAGAACAAAATATAAAACAATAGTACTGGGTGATAATGAAACTAAAAAAACATTACTGCTAGAAATTAATTGGATTAATATTTTGTATCTCAATATTAATTATAGATTGATTTCTCCCTTAAGGAATCATGTATCCAACATAATAAAATGTATTTTAATTGTTGTCTCGGAATTCTAGTTACTCTTTGGGACACTTGGGTTTAGATCTCCTTAACCCTTGCAAATCGATCTGCTTATTACACTCAATTAGCAGTCGAAGAGTTAGAAATGAATACTCTTATCTTTGTGGCTTCAAATTGTCTGGATGAGATGTTAATCTCAGCTTAATATTTGAGGAAAACAACAGAATATGAAGCAACAACTTGAATATTCAGTTTATACTTGTTCATGTTTATGAATCATTTGCCTTTTATAAGATTGTTTTTGCTCTGATAAACACAGTAATGTCCATTTACAGCCTGGACACTTACAGAATCCTTAATGATCTTTTATGTTAGAATCTAAACATGTAATACCATACGTGCATGCTTCGAAAACATCTACCATCTTAATATGGATCTCCTTACTAAGCAAGCTATGGTACTTTGAAAACTTTGGGCAAAAAATGCTGAGTTAGAGGAAATTTTCAACTCAGTTAAGTTAGAAAACTTTTCCACAATCAAAATTTTAGCCTAAATTTGGCAGGTCTTTTGTCAACACACTGCACTCTCAGTTTAGGGAAAGGACTCCAAAAGAAACTACTCCACTCATCATAGATATAAATGTGGCTGCATCATATGGCATCAGTATCAATTGTGACAAAGAAAGTGAATGCACATATTTAAATAAAGGTGTCTGATGACAATAATCCACCGTTTCAGTGACTTTCATTTAAAAGTGGATGAGAAAAAGAAAATTCAAGTTAGTACATAATAGAATCTTGAAGTAAGTTTATATTTTTCCTTAGCTGAAATTCCAAGTATGGCAAAAACACAGACTTTAGCTCATAGCAATCTGATCCTCGTATACTTATTTATGCTCATGAGAAACAAAAAATATGTGTCAGATTAGAGATATTGGTTTTTTTCTGATGTCATGTGGCAGATTTTTAGAGGTACCTTCTACGTGCTTCATTGTCAAAAGATCATAATGTCTAAATTCTGCACTTTATGACAGTACTTTATGACAGTGGTGGCTAAACCCAGCATAGCATATGTTTGTGAATAATATGTCCCATAATGCCTAGCCAGGTGATCACAGGAAATATACTGCTGACCTGACAGTTGTGCAGAAAACCATCATTGACACCCTCCATAAGGAGGGAAAGCCTCAAAAGGTTATTGCGAAGGAAGTTGGATGTTCCCAAAGTGCTGTATCCAAGCACATTAATAGAACGTTATGAGGAAGAAAAAGGTGCACAAGCAGCAGGGATGACCGCAGCCTGGAGAGGATTGTCAGGAAAAGGCCACTCAAATGTATTGGGGACTTTCACAAGGAGTGGACTGAGGCTGGAGTGAGTGCATCAAGAGCCACCACACACAGACGGATCCTGGACATGGGCTTCAGATGTCATATTCCTCTTGTCAAGCCGCTCCTGAACAACAAACAACGTCAGAAGCGTCTTACCTGGGCTAAAGAAAAACAGACCTGGTCTGTTGCTCAGTGATCCAAAGTCCTCTTTTCTGATGAGAGCAACTTTTGCATCTCATTTGGAAACCAAAGACACAGAGTCTTGGAGAATGGAGAGGTACACACTGCAAGATGCTTGAAGTCCAGTGTGAAGTTTCCACAGTCTGTGTTGATTTGGGGAGCCATGTCATCTGCTGGTGTTGGTCCACTGTGCTTCATTAAGTCCAGGGGTCAATGCAGCCATCTACCAGGAGATTTTGGAGCACTTCATGCTTCCTTCCTTCCACAGATGAGCTTTATGGGTATGCTGACTTAATTTCCCAGCAGGACTTGGCACCTGCCCACACTGCCAAAAGCACCAAAGCCTGGTTCAATGACCGTGGGATTACTGTGCTTGATTGGCCAGCAAACTCGCCTAACCTGAACCCCATAGAGAATCTATGGGGCATTGCCAAGAGAAAGATGAGAGACATGAGACCGAACAATGCAGAAGAGCTTTAGGCCGCTATTGAAGCATCCTGGTCTTCCATAACACTTCAGCAGTGCCACAGGCTGATAGCTTCCATGCCATGCCGCGTTGAGGCAGTAATTGCTGCAAAAGGGGCCCAAACCAAGTACTGAGTCTATATGCATGCTTATACTTTTCAGAGGTCCGATATTGTTCTATGTACACTCCTTGTTTTATTGATTGCATGTAATATTCTAATTTACTGAGATTGTGGATTTGGGGTTTTCATGAGCTGTAAGCCATAATCATCGCACTTATGACAAATCACGGCTTGAACTATCTTGCTTTGCATGTACTGCGTCTATCTCATATATTAGTTTACCCTTTTACGTTGCGTTACTGAAATAAATGAACTTTTGCACGATATTCTAATTTTTCGTGTATCATCTGTAAATCAGGTAGGCAGGATAAAGCAGAGTTGTAAGTAATCCAGGTTGGTATGAAGTAGGGTTGGTATGGTGCAGGGTTGTAAGTAAACTAGGTTGGCAGGATAAAGGACAGAAGCAGAGGTCCAAGTTTGTAAGGAGCAGAGGTCGTAGCAAATCAGATTGGAAGCAATGCAGGTAAGTCACAGGTTGTTTCACAGGAGCCAGGATCTGACGTCTTTTTAGTATGAACATCAACTTCAATGTAAAGGTCACTTGGTTTGTCGGGTGTGGCCTTTTTTAAATTCTTTATTTTTGTAGTGCGTACAAATATAACAATTGCTTAGGAGGTACCCCAAAGGCAGTCCTCTAGCGCAGAATGTACAGTGTAAACATAGGGGTTGACAGTAGATATCGCACAGTTTTGTTTTTTGGGTATGGAGATGGATGGTATAGGTTTACATTGCCTAGGTTCAGAAAGCAGCATACCTTTAGTTTATATAAGACAATAAGTATTTACAAGGGTTTCGTTGCAAAGTCTGGCATTTTAAACATTACTAGTTTGTTCAGACCCTGAAAAAGACAGGTTATGAGGTTTCAGCAGATGGCAATAAACATGCTAGACTGGATCTCTATGTGACAATTCTGTCTACGCTTAAGTTTATATCATGGTTTTGAGAGAACAAGTTACTAAAATGGTGGTTAACTATGAACGTGGTGCTGCATGTCCCGTAACCTAGTACACAGGGTTTCTGTAAGGTAAGTTTTACACGCTACAACAATCCTGCTTGATCTGGCGTTGTGTCGCCATGAGTCCCACTAAGGTGATAAGTTGCATGTAATTATCTTGGTGTTCCATACCATGTTCTACTCTGATTGGTGTACTATGTTTGCTTATCTCGTGTGAGTAGGTCTTAGCGGAAGCCATGGAGCCACGGGTTCTCACCACACTACTCGCCAATGTATCCCTAGTCCAGGGCATTGTGGCTGGGTGTAACGTGTATAATCTTAGGTCTCCCTATCATGAAATTGGCTCGTGTGCCTCCTGGATAGTTGTACGATGTGTGTGTGTGGTCTTTGACCCCTAACCGACGGGGGCCTCGGAGGGGTTGGTGGAGAGGTATTATTGGTATATGAGCAGGCTCCGGCTTAACGGTGGCTGTTGTGGGGATTGCGGTGCCCATCAATTGTGGTGTTGGTATGTGGGTCATCTCCTGTGAGTCGGCCGTTTAGTTTAAGTAAGTGTTATATGGGTGTGTGCCCTGCTAGGTTCCCTATATGGTGCTAAACCCTTGGTATATGTGTTAACTGTGAACAGGTAATAGAAAAACATTATGGTTAACTCTGGTAAATTTTAATCGGCGGGCTGAGTGGTAGTCATGTACGTCAAGTGTCCACTATCGGGATTTCCCGTCTCCTCGGTACAAAAGGAACAGTTCTGGTGGGGTCCCATGTATGGGAGCTGGTGGGCTCGTCAGGTGGATCTGGTCTCGGTGAGAGCTTCAGCGCCTTGAGGAAGGAGTCCGCTTCCTGGGTAAAGGTGAGATGCAGAGTAGTGCCGTTGTGGTCCACGGACAAGGTTTTGGGTGTTGTCCAACGGTAGGTTACTTTGGCTTCTTGGAGGCGACGGGTCACTGGGCGTAGGTTTCGTCTCCATTGAAGTATGGATCGTGTTAAGTCTTGGTAAAAGGTAAGACTTGCGGATTCAAAGTCCAGTGGCGTTTTGCCCTTTAGCGCTGCAAAGATGGCGTTCCTGTCTGCCTGAGTATTGCACCTGACGATTACATCCCTGGTTGCTTGGGGGGGTGCCTGTGGTGATTTGCGGATGCGAAACATCTCTGCGACGGCCAGTTTTTTGACCTGTGCATGTGGCAATATGGTGGCCATCAGTCGCCTGAGATAATGCGGCAACTCTGACTGACTGATATCGTCGGGGACTCCCCTGATTTTTACATTGCATTTGCGGCTCCTCTCTTCAGTTGCCTCAAGTTTGCTGAGCAGAGTTGAGTGAGAGGATTTTAGGTGTAATACCGTTTCTTTAAGGCCTTGTATTTCTTGTTGTATGTCGTTGATATCTTCCTCTGAGGCTTTCACACGGTCCGTGACCGCTTGGACCTCCGTTTTCATAATGGCCATGTCTGCCGCTGTCATTTGTTTTAGTTCCCGCAGAAGGTTTTTAATGTCCAGTTTGGTGGCTGGTGTTAAAGCATCTGCGTCCGCTTGTATGTCTTGGGGCAACCGATGGTCTGATGTATCCCCCTCAGCCTGATCCGAGCATGTGGAGATAGTCTCTGGGTCAGGCGTGGTCGCCATCTTTGAGCCCGCCGGGCGCTGGAGCATGGTGCTAATGTCATGGGTGTCTTTGCACGCACCTGCTGCCGTCCGCTGGGATTTTCTCCCCATGGTGTCCGGGTCGGTGGGTGCTGGCTGTGCAGTTAAGGAGAGTGCTGCGCTGTATAGTGCCGTATCAAGGGCCCTGTAGTCTGGGTAGCCCTTGGCTTTACGGCGGACTCTCCGACCCGTCTGCTGGAATGTAAAGGGCATCAGTCGGGTGTCTGTTTTGCTCTCCCGGTCTGCCCGCAGGGTTCCGGAGGTATGTGGGCTCTTTTGGTTTTATGTTGGTTTTATTTTCTCGTTGATTTTGTCTCGTGTTTGCCGGAGCTCTCCGTGTGTGCGACCGCTCGGTTCCGCGGCTAAGCTCCGCCCCCCGGGTGTGGCCTTTTATAGCAGAACTTCAATTTATGTTATACAGGTGAGAGTCTGAGGTGACTAGTGCCTAGGGAGGCCACTAGAGGCGAGAAACAGGCGCTGGATTTAAAGGAACAGTATCAAACGGAAAAAGTCTTGCTAGTCAGATATGTTAAGTTCCTTTAAATTTTCCTTGTATAATCATGCCCTTGAGGCTTTTTGCAGTAAACACTGTCTTTTCAGAGAAAATGCAGTGTTCACATTAGAGCATAGGGATACCTCCACTGGCCACTCCTCAGATGGCTACTAGAGGTACTTCCTGGGGCACTGCTGCTTAGTGTGCGGCATTGCCATTCAGTGTCTCCACCCTCTGCATGCAGACACTGAACGTTCCTCATAGAGATGCATTGATTCAATTCAGTCTTATGATGAGATGCTGAATGGCCAGGGATGTTTGACTTGTATTGGCTCTGCCCCTGACCTGCCTCCTTGACAGTCTCAGACAATCCTATGGTGAAGCATTGTGATTGGCTCAGACCACCACTTCTGATGATGAAAGCAGACAGGCAGGTCAGAGGCAAACAGGAGCAGAGGCAGCAGCTGCAGACTTCAATAAAAGTAATATTTTACTATATTTAGGGAGGCAAGGAGAGGGCTGGATAGTGGTTTTAACACGATAGGGTCAGGAATACATGTTTGTGTTACTGACCCTATAGTGTTCATTTAAGCACTACATTCCTTGTTTATGCTGGGGGCATTGTGGATACCATGAGCACATCTGGAAGCTATACAATTTATGAAAATAGATATTAGTTAAAAATCAAAATCTACCATTTATTAATTACATGCTGGCTCTTATGCAAATTATAAGAATAATATAAAATACCCATGTTGTACTGGGTTTGGTCTCAAAAAAAGCATTTCTCTGACAATTCTGCAGATTTCAAAGAATTATTGCTTCTTCGTGTGAAGCTTTGATTTCTTCATTTAACTTTACCTAACATCTAATATCAGGAGACTGCTTTGCACTATCAATTAACAGCAGGTGATAACAGACTTTATCTCTCCTAAGATGAGTTTGAAAATTAAACCTTTATTGTCAGGATGTTGAAGTAAAGTGTTCAGCAGTCATGTGGAGGGCACGTCTGCATCATCCATTGCTTTCTAATAGTGATGCTATAAATGTACATTAAACTGTCATAAGCAGCTGTTAGCAGTACTTACTGAATAAAATCGTGTTATATTATATAATAACTATTATAAAATCATGTCTTGACTTGGTTTGAGCAGATAATGAGATCACTATTGATACTTCACTCTATTGCTTGATAAGATCCATCCATGTTGGAGCTTCAAAATAAGTGGTTTTCACTGGATATAATACATTTTTCATTAACCATAAAGTGTGTGTGTGTGTGTATATGCCTGAATGAGCGTGTTTGGATATTTTAAATGAGTGTGTGTATTTGTGTGTCAAATGTGTATGTGTATTTGGAATAGTTCATCTTCTTGTAGGCACATTAATCTTAATATCTGTCTTGAAATCTTAAAGGACCACTCTAGGCACCCAGACCACTTCAGCTTAATGAAGTGGTCTGGGTGCCAGGTCCTTCTAGGGTTAACCCATTTTTCATAATTATAGCAGTTTCAGAGAAACTGCTATAATTATGAATGGGTTAAGCCTTCCCCCTAATCCTCTAGTGGCTGTCTCATTGACAGCCACTAGAGGCGCTTGCGTGCTTCTCACTGTGAAAATCACGGTGAGAGCACGCCAGCGTCCATAGGAAAGCATTGTAAATGCTTTCCTATGAGACCGGCTGAATGCGCGCGCAGCTCTTGCCGCGCGTGCGCATTCAGCCGGCGGGGCGTAACGGAGGCGGAGAGGAGGAGGAGAGCTCTCCGCCCAGCGCTGAAAAAAGGTAAGTTTTTACCCCTTTCCCCCTTCCAGAGCCGGGCGGGAGGGGGACCCTGAGGGTGGGGGCACCCTCAGGGCACTATAGTGCCAGGAAAACGAGTATGTTTTCCTGGCACTATAGTGGTCCTTTAAGAACAAATATCTATCATCTATAGCAACCTACATGAATCTTGTGCACCATACACCTTTGTAATCTATTTCCTGAATTACACATTTTACCTTTAATATAGCTGGTATGCACAATACAGTTATCCTGTTATACATACATAACCATTACCGGTTACAGTAGGAAATAGTTTGATAGTCACTTTGCTATATTTGCATTCTTATGTCTGTTCCCTGTATTTATGCCGCAGTTCAAAGATCAATGGTGAAAATGGATATTATGCTAAACAGCATCATTGAATTTAAACTTACGATGAACCCAGTTCAATAAGTTTCACATCTGCCAGTAGCCATTCAGGATACACACAGCCTGATCATGTGGTTGATATTCAACGCAGGCAGTTGTTTTACCATAAAGAGCAATTTTCCTTTTTAGTATAAAATAATAGATGCAGATATGAACCAAACAGTAACAATTTAAGAAAATGCTGATTGGAAAAATATATATATCACTGATTGAGCAAATGTATATTTCAAGCTATCATATGCAAATTATGTGCATTTCTTTGTTTGTCTGTCTGTTATTCAGTGTAAGTTTGTTTGTGCTTTTATACATTGCTTTATATATGAAGTCATTTCATATCAGAAAGATAAATAAACGGAAAAAAATAATTATTTGGCTGCTCAGATTGCATTATACTATCTTTATTAGACTGCGGAATAATTTTCATCACAATACCGAGGAATCATTTCAAGAGACCAAGGTGAATTAAAGTTTGACCTTTTTAATGCTGTCTCTCTTGACATTTTCTTTCATGTACACTTGTTTTCAAGTTCCTGAAATGAACAGCATTGATCCTGATTTTGGAAATCAGTCACAGTGGTAAACAGAGGCTCCCATGATTTATGGATGGCACTCTGAGAGAAGGTGGAAAAAAAGTCTAAGCTTCCCGCAGATTGAACAGAGACGAAGACACAGGGGTCACACCGTCACTTGTTTCATTTTATCATATCATTTCCTTATACATTGGAAAGTGGTTTAATATAAACAATGTAAGATGAGGACTTAAATGACCAGGGAAAAATACTTCATCTTATAAAAAGTATCAAAACATGGATAAGGAACGGTGCGTGCCCTGTTTGGCTCAGAGCAGTATTGCCGCATGATTGATGGTGCAGGGCAAAATTAACGCATGATGGATGACACAGAGAAAACGAATGAATGAATAATACCATTGCAAAAAAATTGACTGTTGATTGAAATAGATGATTAGGATGAGAGAGGTAAGATTGTGAATTCCTATTATTGGTTATTCTTGAACATTAGTGTTAAAGATGTGGGTTTAGTTTAGAAGAGATTGATTTTGGGTCGGGTTAGAGGTGGGCTTTTCAATTAAAATTGTGGTAAGGGATGGGATTAGGTGTTATAATTGGACACTATGGATTAGTATATATTATTGATTATTGTTGGGATAAGGTTTTGAATTTGGGGTTAACAATATAATGAAAGATTAGATCTTGATATTAGGGTTATTGTTCCTAATAGAGGTAGGGTTAAGGGATGGGGTCTGGGTTTAGTTTAAAATTCGGAAGAAATGGCTACGCTGATGCTCTATACAAATGATAGCAACTTAATTCTATCATTAATCACTTTTACTTGATGCACATTCATTTAGCTCTGCCTTATCAATCTTGCACTGATCTGCACCGTAATGTCAGAACCAAACTAGAACATTCTAAATTATAATATTCTATACCACAATCCAAAATGCTTATTTTCTTAATTATTTTTTTCTACAGTTCTCAAGCAAATATGTCAAAGATCCAATGCTGTAACAATGTGTAACACTTGGGACACTAGGATATCTATTCACAAAGGTCCTTAGATTGCAAAGAATAGCCAGCATACATACATAAAGAGCACTAATTATTTTTTTTCTGGGGTGCTATGTGACCCTTGTCCCACAGTCGGTCCAGTCGGTGAAGAATACAAAAAAAGATGGTCCAGTTTCACTACTGTGTGTGGCATGCTGGATTAATTCTTATGTTCACAAAGGTCCGACCTCAATATCACTTGAGATCAACTAGGAAACTACTCAAATTCAGCTATTAAGTAATTGTTTTAAAAGATGCTTACTGACATTATTTTCTAGGTCCAGAGTTTTATCAACATTTATCAATAAACATCAATTTGTGGTAGAATAGAGAAAAATGTTGGGGGGATAGTCACGCATTTGTCTGTCCATTCATATTGAGACCATTCGCAAAATTGATCTGAATATGCTTCATATTGGAACATTTAGATTAATACATCAAAAATCTTATTCCTTTTTTTTTTGTTAACTCTGTTTGCTCTGTAGCTCTTTTAATTACTAATTGATGTTTAGTTTATCTAATTGTTGTATTATTATTTTGATTATTATTTATGACAATTTAATTCCGTAACAGATTATTACTTTCTACAGTAACATGAAGCTGAATTTTGATCAAAGTAGAGAAAATAAATTATTTGTTTCGTTTATGAAAAGTCAGGTTAAAAATTTATCTCAGGAATAGAGTATATTTTTAATAATTAAGCTTTTAATTTTCTTGTTCTTTCATTTGTGGTTTTAAAAAAAAAAGCATCTCAAGCACCATAACCACTACAGCTCACTATAGTGGTTATGGTGTCAAGTGTGACCGCCATTGTAAGAAGTCAAACTTGGGTCCACTGAATA